TAGCAGTAACAATATGGCAGACTTTTAGAGACACCAGTGCTACCTAGGAACATGGGAAATGAATCTCTTTCAGGAGGCAGATGACCTGACCTGCATTCATATAAGTGTAAATCTGAAGAACTCACTTAAGTTTTCTTAATTGTAAAATGGGAATAAAATCATCACAGAGTTGATGTGGAAATGAATCATGATATGGCCATGTGACTGCTTTGTTAACTGTAAAAGCTAATGTCATCCTAGGGTGGCAATTCTCTTAATAAGGAACCATGGAGAGATTAGTGAGCAAAACTGCCTGGACAGATAGAGAAAAAAAAGTAGAGATGTAAAAAGAAGAGAAAAAAAGGGAGAATGCAAGGATCCTAGTACATTAGACAACATTGGCAATCCCTCAGAAGCTGTCTGAACTACTTGCAGTTCATTTTCTGACTGTAATTCTCAATAAAGGAGGGGATTGAATAATGGAGAATACCATTCCTTTCTCTGGTTAGCCCATTAGATCAACTAATAACATAAGTGAAAGTGCTTTCTCTCTGCACAGAAGATGGGGCCTGTATTTTTATAAGAACCATCAATGCAATGTGTGTTACTAGTGTGTTAGTTGATATGGGTCTAAAGAACAATATGAGACTTTCTAGTAACTTTTTATGATATGAAGGAAGAACCTGAAAATGTTAAATACATTTACAAGAAATAGAAAAAACTAGTCAATTTTTTTGAATTCTAAATCCTATGGAATCAGACAATATTAGAATCTGTGGCCTCTTAAGCCATGTCTTTCTATTTGCTATTTCCTTTTTTACCTCATTTCTGGGACTATTACACTGTCTGATCTGTTGTTAATATTATATTATTCTGTGCCAGAAGAGGTAAGGAAGTTACAGTTTCAGAATTGCATTTGAGTCATTTGTGAAATTGCATGTTACGATTTGCCACCATTTCTAACAGTTCTTTAACATTTTCTTTCTCAACTGAGTGTTCACATTTATGCCAATGACCTCTAGGGGCTAGTTTCTTTTCTAGCTTAAGAGAGAATTGCTTCAGTTAGAGTTGGGTAAAGCCAACTGAGGACAGGAACATATATTCTTCATGTTTGGTTTAAAATGGGTAGAAAATTAGAAACTCAAGGTGTGCAAGAGATTTTTGTGGAATTTCAGTACCATCAAGGAGCATTAGGCAGGACTAAATGTTTACCTGTATGTTTGCAAATGTCAAAGACCAAGGACTGAGACAAATGAGGGTGACTTATAAGGAGTTGGCTGCATATTCTGGCTGCCAGGTGGTTCATTTCAGCTGCAGGTCAGAGTAACCTTGTCTTGTGGTCTGGGCACCCAGGTATCAGGTTAGGTCTATCTTGTTGCTTATGCCCTCGGTCACCTTACTAAGGGCTCCTGTCAAACACATGTCAGTAAAGAATAAAGTTATGTAAATATGCACACAGGTTTTCATGGTTAGACAAGAATTTTGCAAACTTTCGTTCAGCAATATCTGGGCCCTTCAGGACAAACATGCTCAGTTTACACAACAAATAACAAAAGCATCACAGTGTAACAGTGGAGAAAGCAAGAACTGTCTTGGAACTTTCACTCTGCCACATGCACAAGGGTGGCCTTACAAAAGAAATGTCATCACTGTGAGCCTCAGTTTCCCCATCTATGAAGCAGGGACAGCTATATAGGGAAGTTATGAGGATTAAATGAAATAAAAGTGAACCAACCTGTGCAAGCCCCCCTACTGTGGTGCCTGGGCCGTAAAGATGCATAAATATCAGGTCCATTTTTTATTTCCACAAAACACACAATCCTAAAGAACTCTACCCAAATTCAACTTTCAAATATCAAATTCTATTTTATAAACCCTGATTTATGAGCAGCTGAGATAACTGACATATCACATTAGTAATTTCACCTTTCTCATTTATCGCCACCAAATAAAGGTGTTATTGCAGGTTCAACAAGTCTTTCCCTTTGCTTTTATTAATTTTATAAATTTAGGGTTTCATCTCTCAGATTTGCTTAAAACAGACCAGTTTATAGCCACATAATATGAAGACTGGGGCAGGTAAGAGCATTCCAGGACCTAGATCTTCTCAGTGGTCCTGAGGCTCAGAAGAGGGGGTGTCAGCCCAAAGCCATTCTACAGCACTACACCCTTCTAGCCATTTGTTGCACGGTGGTTGTTTTTAATCCTCACCCAAGAATATGTTTTTTTGATTTCTTTTTTCTTTTTTTTGAGAGAGAGAGAAACATCAACATCGATCTGTTGTCTCTTGTATGCGCTCTGACTGGGGATTGAACCTGAAACCTAGGTATGTGCCCCGACCAGAAATCGAACAGGCAACCTTCAATAGAGCCACCTGGCCAGGGCTCTGCAGGGTTTTGTTTTGCCTCTTGGTGTGTAGTTCCTTTGCTACAGGAAATCCCTCCCCTTTCCCTTTGATCTTTCTAAGGTCAAGCCTTTAGTAGGTATTTGTTGAATGCCTGGGTTGTACTAGGTGGGTGCTCTGAGCACTTTGTTGCCATGGAGGATGCTAGAGATACAAGATATGCACTATGCAATCACCGTGCAGGCAGTGCTCACAGGTAGGATGAGCACTGTGGTGCGGGCAGTGTGCACATTCCACTGGGCTGCCACGATCTTTACTCAGGCTCTCAGCTTCGGGATGGGTAAGACTTCACTAGAGACAGAAGGGTGAGATGAGATGATGAGGAAACTACATCCTGATGGAGAGAGGCTTTCCTTCCTCCTACAGCAAAACATACCTGTCTCACACCGAAGTCCTTTGCTTTCCCAGGTGACATTTAGCTCATCCTGCAGACTCTCATTAGTGTAATCATAAATGCTATAAATTAATATCCATCATATATAACATGATTGAATTTAACAATCCAATGATTTAACCCCAAAGGATGACTGAATGGTGAGGACTTCAGTCCTTGTCGTAGGGTACTTTGGAGAGAGGCAGGCCTTTTGATGTCATACCGTGTGGGTACTTCCTCAGGCAGGTCATGGGTGAGGTGGAAGTGAGATGAGGACCTTGCTGAGCAGAGACACATTCTCGACACTAGATTTCAGGGTACTTTTTGGTCTAGCCATTGGTATTGTCTCAAGAATTCCTTCTTAGTTTTGGTCGTGGCACATTCAGTCAATTATTCTATCCCTAAGGTACCCTTATTTTTCTCGATCTGAAGGGTGAGTCAGAAGGAAATGTGCTCACTCCCATTCATTCTTTTTGCTTAATGTTTCCTACAATGAGGTTTCCTTGTATAACAAACAACTTCTGTGGATGTTTAAGGGTCTTTAAAAGAGAATATGCTGTAGCCATGAGTGGAACACCTTCTGCAGTAAACATCACAGCAAACATGGAGCTTGAGCAGAAGCTTTTCTCACAGGTAGCAGGAGGCTTTGAGGCAGGGTTTGTCTGCAGGAAGTATAGTGTCCTGACATTCAAATCAACATTTCTAATTGATTGAAGTCATGGTATGGAAGAAAACAGAGTCTTGGGCTCTGGCTTGGTTTCAAATCCTTCTTGGCCACTGACTGGCCATTTTCTCAGCTGTAAAACGGGGATAGTTAATAATATATTAATTACACAATATATTTATACACAATAGGCTTGTGTATAAAGTGAGATATGTAGAAGGTGGAGCATGGCTAACTACCAATGAGGGGTAGTTGTCTACCAAAGCATTGTTGCTGCTGGGTTCCTTTCTTACTATGTGTGGCTGATATAAGCTCTGTGAGCCTCAGTTTCCTGATCTGAAAAGTGGGGTCACTATTACCTAGTTCACAGAGCTGGTATGAGGATTAAATGAGAAGATATGTAAGCACTTAGCACACTCTTTGGCATGATATAGATACTTGATAGATGTCAGTTTCCTTCACCCTCATGTCATCAGTTTCCTTCACCCTCATGTCATCTTTGTCTGCTTGTTGGCTCATGACTGAAATTCATTCACACTAATTTCCATTCCAGGTGTATCTTACTAACAGATAAGTACTACCAAATGGAACTAATCTTTTACACAATTAAGATTTTTCTCCTTAATGTGGAAAGAAGGAAGGAGCATATGGGTACTGGGTGCCTGGAGACGCCCCCAGGAGCGGGAACGGGAAGCTGAGACTGTGAGGGCAAGTGTCTTGTCCTCTGCATTCGTCACAGGTGGCTCTGGTCAGCTTACACTCCTTCCCGTCCAAACTAACTTCTCTGCCTCAAGGGTCAGGAAACTGCCCGACAACTTGAGAGCGCTGGAGCCCAGGAGGCCTGGCTCTAATGAAAATCGCAGTGGGGTGGAGTAGAGATTTTTGACAGCCTTGTTTATAAAGTAGGTGGCTCCCCATGTTTGGGGCCTGTCCCCACCACCTGCGGACCTCACTCGGGGAAACCGAGAGCACACTAGAGACGGCGACAATCGGAAGCAGCGGATGTCTACAGGCCGTCAACGGCTGCCCTGAAGCCAGCTGCTTCTTAACAACTATAGAATAGTCCCAGTCTACTCGCTGAGGGCTACTGCCTAGTAGGTAGGCGAGTCTGGGAACCCCGCGGAGTGGGGGGAACTGGGGCCGCCACCAGAGGACGCTGGCCTGCGAAGTGAACTTGAAGGCGCCGGGAGCAGAGAGGCGCCGCCACGGAGCAGGCACAGATCTTCCCCGGGTGCTTCCTTACAGTAGGGGGCGAGGGGGTTCCTGGACTTCTCTCAGAGGTGAAAGGCTTCCCCGTCAGACCCTGAGAGCTGAGAACCCGCCCCCCGACCGTCGCCGTGCGGCTCTGCCTGTCCAGGGGCGCGGCTGCTCCTGGCGCTGGGCCTGGGCACCCCCCCCCCAGGTCTAACCACTCGGTTCTTGGAGTCAGACTTCCGCACCCAGCCCCTCTCAGGCCACGGGGTCTGGGTCTAGATCCTCAAGGTGTGGTCCCCAGGCCAGTAGCCTCAGTTTCGGCGTCGCTGGACCGGTTAGAAATGCGCGCTCCCGGGCCCCGCCTCAGACCTGAATGCGAGCCGGGGTGAGGGGCGCTCCCGGGGCGTCGCTGCCCCGCGGGGGCTCTGAGGCGCTCGGACAGCCTCTTCCCTGGGGCTTCCCGCTTCGCCCAGGTGAGTGCATCGCGAGGTACGCAGTCCGGGTCCCCCGAGACCTGTGGGCCGCCCGCTCGGCGGTCACGTGGGCTCTTGGAGTCTCCCCTCCCTCCCCCCCCG